AGTAAATGAATCATGTAGGGACCAGGAGAAGACCGAGGCAGGTTGTGTTGTATTTTTTCTTCCTTGGCTTCCCCAGGTTTTGGGCAGAGTGGGTGCTGGGTCTCTACTGTTAACTGGTAGATTTAAGATCCCAAAGTAGCTTAATCATGATTCACGCTGACCATGGTCTAGTTAACTTTCACTTCATAGTGGATTATAAATGTCAACAAAAAAAATGGCATTTTCTTCTTTAACTGGTCCAAGATTTCTAAAAGCTTTCTTCTGAAGATTATGCACTTCTTTTGGGGGAGTGGGAACTCTTAAGCATTTTTATAACCTCTTCAATATAAATAGGCAGCCCAGTGTGATGGGGAAATGTCTGGAGTAGGCGGTGTTGATACACCTCCCACCCCTGTCTCTAGCATCGCAGCAGATTTATCATTTTGTCACATGCAGTGTTGGCCTCTGTGTTGTAACCTCAGACTGGAATTAGGGCTTTTCCTGCTGGGCAAAGTTAGTGTGGGAACGTGTGAGGGCTTCAGGATCCCCAAACCACCTCACGGTTTGGGGTATGTCTAATATTTATGAAGTGGCTCTTCCACTCCCGCGTCCTCTCAACATGCCCGAGATGCAGGTCTCCTCCCAGGTCCTTCTGTCCCATGGCTGGGAACAGTCACTCTGCTCAGATTCCATGAGAGGGCAGTAGGACAGCAAGAATGCGCCTCTGCCTCTGTCTCCTCCCCCTCCTCTCCTGCCTTCCAGCCTAAACCCATTTCAGGTCTGTTACAGATGCAGAAGGGGAAGGTTCTCAGAGCCGACACTGAGAACGGATGTCAGGCACCAGGGTGGCTGCAGGGTAGGCGGGCAGGCCATGTGTGGCCGAGTGGCCTTGTGGCACTGGTGAAGTGCCCTTCAGCAGCTCAAAGGAGCAGGAGAGAGCCTGGGCTTAGAAATAACTGGATGATGTCAGTGTGACTGGGAAGTGCTAACTGCTCTGGGGAGCCAGGCGAAGCACTGAGACCAGCTGGGTGGGAATGAGACCTGGAAACAAAACTAGAGCTACGGTCGGCTCAGAGGGCGTCTCCCCAGAATAGGGTCAGCGCGGTGCACGGCCATGGTGTTTAGCCCCCTGTGCTGGGAGGATTATTGGAGCCTCTGCCTTTGTGCTCTGGGCAGGAGGAGGGAGGATTGCAGCCCCGAAAACCTCATGGTTTTGGGTAAGTTAAATATTTATGAAATGGTTCTCTTCAGCAACCCCCTCCACATGCAGATGGTGAGGTTGTTTTTGAAAAAGCAGCAGAAATGTGCCTGAGCTACTTGGGTCCTGGGGCTGTGACAGGAGGAGACAGAAGGGGTGTGTGCACGGCTGAGCTGAGACCAGAGCCGTGCCGGGCTGCAGACCTCACTCTCACGTGTATGCCCTGCAGAGCCTGGGGAGGAGGCTGCACTGGTGCCCTCAGCGTGTACCCTCTGCAGGGCTCAGGCCTTGGGCTGGTGACATGAGGAAGAGTAGGGGCCGAGTGGAAGGAGTTGAGCTTGGAACTAGGTGGGTCTTCCAGACCCAGCTCTTGTTCAGCCATTTGTGGCTAATCTGCAGAAACATGGTCTCCATCTGCCTCTCTAGTGTCAGCATGTACCTCTGGCCATCTCGTCACTGTAGTTGGTCAGCATGGGCGCAGAGAATGCAAGGTCATTGCTTTTTTTTTGTTAATTTTAGGTTTTTAAAAATAATTATTTAATTGTATTATTATTTTAAAATTTTGCTATAGGGCACATGTGTTCATCAGAGAGAGACAGAGATAGAGAGAGGGAAAGTGAGAAAGCAAGCTACCAGGTCTGGTACTCAAACCATGGTTGGCCATGCCAAAGTCCAACACCTTGACCACCATGCTACCTGCTGGTGCTCAAGGTAATTTATTTTAGTATTAGCCATGCTTAATATTTTACTGCAGATGGCATAGTGGTTATGTCACTAGACTCCCACGTGGCTGACCACAGTTTGAGTCCCAGACCTAGTGGCTCCAAAAATGTGGCAGGGGGGTGTGTGTGCATGCCCAAGATCCCGGGAGGAGAATGGAGGAGAAGGGATTGCAGTGTGGCCATCCCCCTGGGGGGAGGGTGATTTTCCTCTCACTGTCTGTCTGTCTTTATCTCCAGTGAGCACATGCGCCCTAAGGCAAAAACCTCTTAATTATTATTATTATTATTTTTTTACTATTGAGGTAGGATAAACTAGGAGCAGCCCCATCAAGTGAAAAATCTTCTTTTGAAGAATTTATCCTTGACAGACAATTGGATAGACGGGACCTGTAGTCTGGGTGTGTGCTCTTATATAGAAGAATGGGAATCTCTACTTAGTAGTTATTGAGTTTGCTAAACTACTTTTTTCCCAACCTCTTGAACAGATAATTAATCATTAACATTTGGTTACCCATTTTCCATTTAATAAGTACTATAACAAATATAGTCTAATCTCTGTATATCCTTGCAAAATAAATATTACATCTTCATTTTGTACAGTAGGAAGGGAAGCCTCAACTCCTTATCTGCATGACACATTCATTTATTATTATTATTTTGGAGAGATTTTTGCTGTAGGGCACGTGTGCTCGCCAGAAAGACAGAGAGAGACAGAGAGACAGAAAGTGAGAAATCCCCACCTGGGGAGGTGGCCACACTGCAATCCCTTCTCCTAGATTCTCCTCTCAAGATCTTGGGTACGCATGCACATGTGCCCGGCGTGAGTTTAAGCCACCGGATCTGGGACTCAAGCCGCAGTCTACTACATGGGAGTCCAGTGACATAGCCATTACACCAACTGCTGGTTCCGACACATTCGTTTTTAAAAATTCAGTCACTGGCCTTTACTGAGCACCTATTACATGTCAGACACTAGATACTGTGGAGAACCGGGAGCTACTTAGTGAGGGAAACACAAGGAAATCTGCAGTTACACTGGCTGCCACAGCAGAGGAGGGAAAGCTGTCTTAAGTCACCTGCCCCAAGGATCAAGGAAAGCTTTCGGCCAGAGGGGAGGCTGTGAGGGTGGTGAGAGTCGGGAGTTTGCCAGGTTAGAGAGGAGGGGTGTGGGATAGAGAAAGGGATGAGAAGGGAGTGACAGAGAGAGACAGAGACAGAGAGAGAGAGAGAGAGAGAGGTCGCTATTAGGCACTATTTACATATTTCCCCCCCAAGAGTTATGAATGTTTTATTAAAGACCAATAGGAGAGTCCTGCCAAGACCAAGCCCAAGTGTCCCGGTGGGTGGTTTGAGCCCAGGCAGAGGGAGTGCTGGGCAGTCAGAGTCTACATTTTCTTTTACTTGCCAGATGGCACTTGTGCTTTTCAGATAGAGACAGAGATAGAAAGGGAAAGGGAGAAAGCGTCCTCTGGTGGGGCATGGCCACCCCATAATCCCTTTTCCATTTTTCCATCCTTTTGGGATTTGGGGCACACACACATGCATGCCTGGTGTTTTTCAAGCTGAGCTAGGATTTGAACCAGGGTCAGCCATGTGAAAGCTGACTCCTTTAGCCATTAGGCTACAGGGCCGGCTCTGTATATATGTGTTGTAAGAATGCACAGCGAAGTAGAGAAATAAGAAATAGCAAACTGTGTCCACAGGCAGGAGGGAGGATGTCGATGTGGCCGGAGGTGAACTTGGTTGTGTCTCAGGCCTGGGCCAGGGATTCAAACCGTGGTCGCCATGTGGAATCCAGCTGCCCTTAAGCAGCACATGATAGCTGTACCACAGAGCCAGGAAAGCTCATCTAGGGTAGAGCCAAGAATCTGCACTTTATTATGTTATTTATTTACTTATTTTATGCCAGGGAGCATGAGTGTATATGAGAGAGTGACAGACAGCGAGAGGCAGGCATGCCTGGCCATGCTATAATCCCTTTTCCTGCAGTTTTCCATCCCGTCAGGATCCTGGGCGTGCGTGTGCGTGCCAGTGTTTTCTGTCTGTCGAGGCTGTGATTGGAACGTACCCTTGTTGGCCATGTGGGATCTGCTTCTGCTGTGTAGCATCTAACCACTGTGCTATGGAGCCAGCACTGAAATTTGTATTTTAAAAAACTGTTTGGGAGACCAGCAGTTGGTGTAATGGTTATGTCGCTGGACTCCCATGTAGTTGACTGTGGTTCAAGTCCTGTACCTGGCAACTTAAATCTCATGCCAGGTGCGCATGTGCGTATGCCCAAAATTCCAAGAGGAGAAGGGATTATGGCATGCCTGTCCCCCCTGGTCGGGAGGGGTGATTTCTCACTTTCTGTCTCTCTATCTCTCTCTGTCTCTCCAGAGAATGCATGTGCCCTATAGCTAAAATCTCTCTTAAGAAAAAAAAGAAAGCTGTTTGGGACCAGCAGGTAGTGTAGTAGGTAAGGTACTGGACTCCCACATGGTTGATCATGGTTTGAGTACCAGATTTGGCAGCTTGAAACTCATGCTGGGTGCATGTGTGTGTGTGTGCCCAAAATCCCAGGAGGAGAATGGAGGAGAAGAGATTGCAGCATGGCCATCCCCGTGGAGGGTGATTTCTCACTTTCCCTCTCATTGTCTCTCTCCATTTTTCTCCAGTGAATGCTTGTGCCCTATGACACAAACTTTAAAAAGTAACAATAAAAAAGGCCCTGAAACCAGCAGATGACATAATGGTTATGTCACTGGACTCCTATAGTTTGAGTTCCGGACCTGAAGGCTTGAAACTCATGCTGGGCATGTGTGCCCAAGATCCCAGGAGAATGGAGGAAAAAGGATTGTGGTGTGGCCTTTCTCTTGGGGGGTGATTTCTCTATCTCTCTGTCTCTCTGGTGAGCCTACACGCCCTGTCCTAAACATCTCTCTCTCAAAAAAAAAAAAAAAAAAAAAAGAAGAAACCTTTGGGTATTGGGTAACTCCTGGGGTCAGGACGTGAGCCTTGGCCCATGGGAGGCGAAGGATGGTAGCCCCTCTTTAGCACGTCTCCAGCCTCCTTTTCCACACGTGTGCTGCTGTCTTTTCTGACATGTCCGTGCTCTCTAGGAGTCTCCGAGAACAAGCCCACCCGAGAAGAAGGACGTCTCTTTGGACTCAGATGCTGCCGGCCCTCCCACTCCAGGCCAGCTCTTCAGCCACGGTGCAGGAAGCAGTCCGAGCAGTGCCGATGGCGGGGGGAGACGGAGCAGAGGGGCAAGCCCTCAGCTCTCAGAGAAAGAAGAGGATGAGAAGAGTGATCCTGAGGTTTCCAGGGGTCTGGTGACCCCAGGGACGCCCCCTGGGGGTGATCAACCTGCCACAGCCTCCCAAAAGGAGCAGCCGCCAGAGGAGCTGGCAGATGCCGGAGAGGAGGGCTCCAGGAGGGAAGAGTCCATGAAGGAACCTGAGGAGGAGACACCTGCCCCCAAAGAGAGCAGATCGGATGCCAGCGAAGTGAGTCCCTGTCCCTAGGCAGGTCCGGCTGCAACCCTCTGCTGCTCTCCTCAGCCCTGCACGTCTCCTGTCCCCACGAGCTTCAGCTACTGACTACTGCGGCTGGGCTGTCAGCCTCAGCCAGAGCCCTTAATTGTGACAGATATGCCTAGACCCAGCAGGCAGTAGAGTCCTGAATGAAGCTGCAGACCTGCTGGCTCTGAATATCAGAGCAAAAACGTGCTTCTCCATTGGCACCCTCTTGGGATATTCATGTTCCTTCTCCTGCGCCTGGTCTCCCCCTCCCGGCCTCCCTGCCTCCTGCTTCTGCTGCTTAACTTCACTTTGGGGTCAGTCATGGTTGTAGCAGTCTGAGTTCCTGTAAAGGGAGGAGAACATTGTGCATCCGTGAACGTGCACGCGTGTGTGTCTCTGTGTGTATGTGTCTGTATGTGTGTCTCTGTGAGTGTGTCTTTATGTGTGTTTATGTCTCTGTGTGTGCATGTGTCTGTGTGTGTGTGTGTGTCTGGGTGTGTTTGTGTGTCTCTGTGTATGTTCTCTGTGTGTGTGTCTCTGTGTGTCTTTGTGTCTCTTTGTACGTGTGTGTGTGCATGTCTCTGTGTGCACGCGTGTCTCTGTGCACGTCTCTGTGTATTTGTGTGTGTGTGCACATGTCTGTGTTTGTGTGTGTGTCTGTGTGTGCATGTGTCTGTGTATTTGTGTGTGTGTCTGGGTGCATGTCTGTATGTGTGCATGTCTGTGTGTGTCTCTGTGTGTGCACATGTCTGTGCATGGCTGGTGTGTGTGTGTCAGGTGGTAGAGGTACCATAGTTGGAGTGCCATGCCCCAGCATAGCTAGGTTAGGTTATAAGAATACTTGGTGATTTCTGTGTCATGACCCAGCCCAAGCTGTGGGAGTGGTTACTTTGGCACGACCAGCCTAGACAGTGCTGGGCAGGGGGAGGGACTTCTAGATTTTCTAGCCATTAGTCCCATTCCTTCTTCAGATAAGGGAATTTATTTAATGAACTTCCATTATTCTGTGGAAACAATATGCTGTCCTTATTTTCAGACTAATCTCCAATGTCTGTACACAGTCAGCTTTTTCTTTTTTCTTTTTTTTTTACGTTTCTGCCACAGGGTGTGTATGCTTGAGAGAGAAACAGAAACAGAGAAAGGGAAAGTGAGAAATCACCCCCCAGGGAGGATGGCCAGCTGCAGTCGTTTCTCCTCCATTCTCCTCTCGGGATTTTGGGCAGTCATGGACACATGCTTGGCATGGTTTTCAAGCTGCTGGGTCCAGGACTTGAACTGTGGTTGGCTAAGTGGGAGTCCAGTGCCTTAACTGCCATACTATTGGCTGGCACCCAGTGTCAGTGTTCTAACCATCCCTACCACTCCTGGCCCTCCTCACATGGGTAAATCTTTCTTGAGCTGATCAGAGTGGGTTGTGTGTGCGTGTCCGGGTGTGTTTGTATGTGTGTCTATGTGTGTGTGTTTCTGTGTGTCTTTGTGTCTCTTAGTATGTGTGTGTGTGCAGGGCTGCCTGCCTGGTGGGGTGGAGGCTGGTGCGTGTGTCCGGAGAGAACGGCAGGACCACAGGCCTCCCTGGTTTTCAGGAAGAGGTGGATTTCAGTTTGGCATCATGGCTGGATAGCGACCCTGACCTTCTGTGCTCTGCTTTGGAGATTTCTCTGGGTGTTTGTTTCCCCAGCAGTTGGAGCTAAGTGAACATGTGAAGGAACCGCAGCTCTCAGACTCCGTGGCTTCTGACCCCAAGTCCTTCCTTGGCCTGGTGAGTTTGAGGGGAGGCAGTTAGTGTTGGTTAAGAGCACAGAATTTTGAGCCCTTGGGTTAAGTAATTTGCCTAGCATCATACAGCTTGGAAGTGGGGGCGGGGAGTTAAGGCTCCACCTTGGGTCTTCTTTAGCTCTAGGCTCCCACCCCATAAACTGAGGATAACACTGCCTCCTTCATAGGTTTATTGTCAGAAGAAAGGTGAGCGTGCAGCCATTAAATATATGCTAGCTATTACTACTCTTATTTTTTAAAAAAGAATGATTTCATTTAATTTGTTATTACTATTAATTCACTATAGGGCACTCACCAGTGAGAGGGAAGGTGAGAAAGCAAGGTGCCAGGTCTGGGACGCAAACCATGGCTGGTCACGTGGCAGTCCAGTGCCTTAGCCACCATGCCACCTGCTGGCCTACCATTAATAGACTTTTTTTCTTTTTTTTTTTTTTAATTTATTTATTTAATTCTGTTTATTATTATTTTTTAATTTGACCAAAGAGAGACACAGAGAGAGAGAAATGGAAAGGGAGAAAGCAAGCCAACAGAT